TGTTTCTCCTTGGAGGCATCTGAGATCGTGGCTAGTCACTGATACCAACTGACGCAGACGAAAGCACAACGAGAGAAGCAAAGATAATCGAACGATAGAAGTTTTTATTTCTTCTTCAATCTGCCTGCTACTGCTGGCATACATCGGTTTTAAAGAAAAAGAGCAAGAGTCCTACTACATTCAAACCCTCCCAAAATAATAAGAGATAAGTAGGAAAATAAGTTAAATAGCTACTTATTTATTAAAAATAAAAGAAGAGATAATAATAGTAGAAATAATCCCAAAATAGCTTAGACGAGAGGCGCCAAACGATCATGTCGGTCAAGAAATGCGAGTGCAATCTCGTCCTCATCAAAATATTTTCAACTGCCAGATAATGAAGTCATACATTTATTTTAATAATAATACAAATCCTTAACCACCTAGATATAAAAGTCCAAACACAACAAGCCCACTACAACATAAATATAAATAATAATAATAAGAAACGGAATAATATTCAAACTAATGAGACGAGTCGATCAAATTTGTCGAGATATGCTAATGCAATCTCGTTGGCATCATCATCATCATCATTATTCACTACAAGAAAATGATGGAATTCCAACGGAAATATATGTCAAAAGAATTATTCCAACGGCAAGTCCAACGGATATTTCAATACTATTATTTCCGTTGGAATTTTTCAATGGATTCCAACAGAAATTCCAACGAAAATATTCCGTTGGAATGGGTTTTCCATTGGAATTTCCGTTGAATTTTGACAATTCCAACAGTGGATTTTCCAACGGGGGTGGAAAAAAAAATTCCAACGGAGTTTGCATATTCCAACAGAAATTCCTACGGTAAAAAGCCGTTGGAAATATAGCCGTTGAAATCATCAAATTCCATCTAAAATTCCAATGAAAAACACATTCCAACGAAATATTTCCGTTGGAATTTCTGTTGGAACTATTCCAACGGAAGCTATTCCATTGGAATATCCGTTGGAATTTCCATTGGAATATATTACCATAGGATTTTCTGTTGGAATATAACATTTATTTTGTACTGATTATTATCATCATCATCATCATCATCATCATCATCATCATCATCATCATCATCATCATCATCATTATTATTATTATTTTACCTTCCTTTGATATGGGACCATTATCCTATAGAATGCAGCAGAGAAGAATAGGATTCTCAGACTCCAAGGATGATACTGTAGGGAAATTTATGTAGAAAAATATTATATTACATTTGGATATATTTTCAGAATACCTTATCCAGTCTTTGCCTTTACATCTTTTACTCTTTTGCATCTACTTTTTTTAATAATATTATTATTAAAATATTGAGGAGATTGATTCTTGATTCCATCTTTTTAATGAAATGACATATATATAAAAATTAAAATAAATAACACTTTGAACAATCAAATTAAATAGCTATTAATTACAGCTGAATTTACAAGAACAACACACATACAACTTAAATTTGAAAACACAATAAATTTAAATACTATGATTATTATAAAATTATCATATCCAGAGAGCATCCAATACAAATAACAAACACACAAATTCAAAGATATTTATAAATATATTATATAATTTCACTATGAAAAGTTTGGTATTGCTTGAAATATATTAGTAAATATATATAACTAGTACAACACCCGTGTATTACACGGGTGCTTGCTAATTTTTTTCTTTAAATTTAAAATTAATGAGAAAAAATAGTTTGAAAATTTAAATACCTTTTATAAGAATATATATATATATATATATATATGTATTATGATATTTTTTATTTGTGCGACTTACTTGTGTTATATTATACTAATTTTTTAACTTACATATATAACTACATTAAATATAAGTATATCAATTGAGAAATAATTTTATTTTTCTAATGAATTTTAATAAATATTATTATTTTTTCTTATTATAAAGATAAATATAATTTATTTATTTTATATATACAATATGGATGTCAAATCGAAGATCATCAAAAGATGATTAATTTAATATATTATATATGTAAAACCGATAAAAAATACAAAAGCTATCTACTTTTAAAATACATTTATAATTCAATAGCTTATTGAAGGAAGCAAATCAAAATTTAGGGATATATTAGTCACTTAGTGTCTCACTATGTAAAATTACAAATAATTATATATAGGGAGAATAATTACAAATAATTATATGTGTCACTTAGGATTCTGAAGCACCAGAAGCATCCACGTAGGCTCAGCGCATTCTGGAATTATATATAGGGAGAATATCATTATGAAAAACAATAAGATATTGTAAAACAAACTATAATATGCTCTTCCAATTTTCTTTATTCATGGAAACTACAATTTTAGATTACTTTTTGCTGTAAAGTATAAAAGATGCTCTACTTTTCCATTTACTTCCCTCATCCTCGAAAGCCCAATAAAAGTGAGCCCAAAATTAAACCATCAATTTTGGGATGGACATTGCTTAAAAATTAATATTAATTCTCCCATCACTTTATATCGTTCAATCTCACACTCATTACTAATTCAAATTTATTTTTTACTCATTATACTTTGTACATATTTGTAAAATAGGTAATTAACTGAATAATTAAACAGTAAGGGGTGTGATACAAAATCCAAATTAAAACTTTTGAAAACACATTAATAAACCACACAAACACAAATTCTTGTATTGGACAATTATAACCGTTTGGCGGGCCGACCGTCATGCTTTTATTTATACTAGTTATCATCCTGTGCATATGCACAAATGTACATAAAATATTATAAGTAATATGTGTGAATTTAGTATTAAAATTATAGATGATAAACATATCACATTTTCAAGATATGTGAATTTAAAATTAAAATTCTAGAAAATAAACATATCACATTTTCAAGATATGTGAATTTAATATTAAAATTCTAGATAATAGACATACCACATTTTTAAGATTTAATCATTAGTAAAAATAAAATAATATTTATATAAATTGTTTGAGTACGTATGAATCACTATATTGATTAAAATAAATTGTGGATAATGTAATTTTTATAATTTGCAGGGATCATGGTCAAATAATTTACTTGAAAACTTTATTATTATTATTATAATTATTATTCTTATTACAACGACAATTGTTTATAAGATTTTAAAGTTTTTTAACCATACTATTAAAACTATTTACTAATTGTTTCTAAAGAAAATTGTTTCATGAAATATAAAATAATAATAATAATAATAATAATAATAATAATAATAATAATAATAATAATAATAATAATAATAATATCATTCATAAAACCTAATTTAAGTGTAATCATGTATTTAAAAAACCTAATTAATAAAATCTCATTTATTTTCTCTCTAAAAGAAGTTATATAATCTGTCATTCATATTTTGCCTTTCACATTAATACACCCTATTAAGTGTAATCATATATTTTTTTGCTATTATATTATATAATAGTTAATGCTATTACCAACTCATAATATTTCACACTAAATATAAATTACATAAGTATAAACAATTTTATTGTTTCAATATATTATTATTATTATTATTATTATTGTTCTTCTTATTATTATTATTATTATTATTATTATTATTATTATTATTATTATTATTATTATTATTATCATTATTATTATTATAATAGTAGTAGTCAACTAGTATTCAACCCTGTGCATTTGCACAGATGTAAATAAAGTATTGTGAGTTATTTTATGCATATAATGATTAATTATTTTTCTTTCACTTTTTTGCATGCTAAATTTACAAATAAAGAAGTTGGAATATTTACTTTTTTTTAAAAAAAAAAAAAAATTGTGTTTATCTGATTGGATGTAATATATATTTTGGTACGTCTTTTTTTGAATTATTTATCATTTATTTAGGAATTTCAAATAAGTTTTTAATTAAAAAAAATAATTTAAATGTAACCACAATAATAACATCTAATCACATTGTACGATCAACACATTATATGGTCAGCTGTCACTAATAAAAAGCTTAAAATAATTTTTGTAATTTTGATGTGATTAGTATTGATTATTTAATAATTAAATGAAAGATTAAATACATAAAAAAGTAACGGTTTTTGGAGGGAAAAATATTAAATTGCCACATAGGTAAAATTAATTAGGTTTTATTAAATGCTATTGGCTAGTAATTATATATATAGATGTTATTTTTTTGCTATAATATTATATAATAGTTAATGCTATTAATTCCTTTACATGATTACACTTAATAGGGGTGTATTAATGTAAAATGTAAAATATGAATGACAAATTTTGTAACTTCTTTTGGAGGGAAAATAAATGAGGTTTTATTAATTAGGTTTTATTTATTAGGTTTTATTTAATGATTAGCTAGCAATTATATATATATAGATTTATTTTTATATATTTCAGTTTGAAAGTAGACATATATCTATTTAAAAAATATACTTAGCCATGCCTAAAAATAAAAGAAGTCAGGGAACGGTTTTGCTATGGAGCCATCGGATGGCTCGGCTTATAGAGCCATCCATTGTTATCCACAAATGATGTATTGACACGTGTCCTGCAATAAATGCACATTGGACATGTGTCAGTATATAAAATTATGGATGGCTCCATAACGGAACCATCCGATTGCTCCATAGAATTATTGAGTCAGGGAAACAATTGAAAAATGACAATAATCAAATTGTATGACTGTTGTAAAGCAACATGCCCTAATAGTCAGTCAGTTTATTTTTTTTTTTTTAACAAATATATATAT